AAGAATTAGGACAATCGACCAAGATTTGACTATAAAAATAATCAGAGAACCTCCACGGAAACTACTTTCCCACGTCTGCACACATAGCAAGGATGGAAGTACCACGGAACAAAGATTCCTCAGGAACTAATGCAAAAGTCAAAGTCGTGTTTATAATAGGAAATGTAGATGTCACCCAAACGGAACCAATGAGAGTAATTATAGGGGAAACTACCCCTAAACGACGGAGATATGACTAAAACTCCTGCAAAACGAGGACAATGTCTAAAAAGCAAGCGCGAAGATTAACTAGTAACGACCGAGACAAGCTTGATGGCCCATTAGAAAGGAAAGGATCTACTCTTAATCCTCCCAAATTTCCATAATAAAAGGATCATGCGTTAATGAGAAATCCAATAACGGGAATAGCGACATCAAAAGTCCGAGCTCAGGGACAAGACGATGATTGCGTAGGATCCATAATTAAAACATACAACGAAATTTACACGGAAATTATGAAAAATAGGAAACTATAGTTATGCAAATTCTCAGCCCAAACGGTCGAGCCGTTGTGAAGTTATACCCATGGCGGGAATATAGGAATCCGCATCATGTGTAATGACACGTGAGGGTGGCGATGCGCAGGGAACCGGCCGTCGGAACCGAGATCCGCACTTCGGCAGATCGCGAAGACCAATTTCCGTCCAAATAAGGAAGAGCCCGGTCAAAACAAAGCACGAAAGGTGCAAAACAACCTTAGATCATGAGGGAAAAATCTGAAATAAATCACAGAAGCCCATATGAAAGAAATAAACACCCGCGCATATCATAAATCCCGAACAACTAAACGAAAACGGCTCCCGCATACGAACAACTATGGGAACGACGCACGTGATTACCGAATGTGCGCACGAAACTTTGCTAACTCAACGAATACAGGGAAATAGGACACAACCTTAGTACCATTGGAAAGGTGGGAATAAATGAAAATTTATGATACCAAGAACGTGAGAAAACATCCAGAAATGAATGAGATACAAGGACATGAAGTTAGAAACCTGAAAACACGCGGGAAGACAGCTTCAAGAGGTCTAGAGCCCTAAATAAAATACATAAAAATATGATATCTTCGAGGACGACCTACTATAACAACGAACAATACATATGGAGGATTAGGATGTGATAATACAAAAGGGAATCAGGGAATATGAACGAAATTCACGAAAACTACTAAACTACGACGGACCATGGCGGGAATTTTAGGGAACGATGTTCTAATGAAGTAGAGAGCTATAACACATTCGTTTGAGTAATTCTTGATTACTAGCAACTTTTTCTTTCAGTTTTAAACCTGAATAATTCACTCATTTATCATTTCAGTCTCATTTTAACTAAAATGTCACTAAATAAAATTGGAATAAATCAGCTGAAGGTCTCAGCACAGTCGCACGCATAGTAATGCGAGGTTTGAATTCAGTATGACCGAGTCATAGCGAACTTAATGGGAAATATGGGGAATTTGAAATAGGGAACTGCGGCAAATGCGGCGCAGACAAATTCTAATTAACCATTAAAATAGCTTAGGCGAGGAAGGACAATAAGGATTCCAGGCGCAGTCTGACCGCAGTAGACCGCAGTTCAGCGCAGCAAAGCGCAGCGGAACTATAGCGTGAAAATTTCACTTTTTATTCAGTTTGAGAAAAATACACTGTAAATAAATCCTGTAAATAGAAGGTAGAGCGTGAAAAAGGAAGGCGACCCAAGGAGTATAAAAGGGAGACCCTTTCTGCGACCTTTCGCCCCCCTCAGAGAAGTAAGAAAATAGAGTATTATTTTTCTCAAGCATTTCTGGTTGTCACTCCAGTGCGAAAAAGTGATATACAGTTAAGATTGCCACTGTAGTAAAAGGCAGCAATTAAGGAGAGAAATATTAAGTAGATATTTCAACAGGAGAGCTGGTTAACACTCCAGATTTCAAAGTGTAAACACAAAACAGTTATTTTGCTACTGTTAAAACAAGCAATAAAATAAAGACAAAAATAAAACGAACTCAAGGGACACTCCAGACACCATCCAAATTCATTAACTGAATAGAATCTTTGAAACTTCACCAAGTAGAAGATTAAATTCAAGTTTAAATCCAAATTAAACAACGCTACACAAAATTACACCTAGACAAATTAATAAATTTCAATAAAGAAACAGCTCCGCAGGGCTCGGTTTATCTGTAAGTCAATTCCCAGGAACTTTAAAACTAACCCATAAAAATAGAATTAGCCAAAACACTCGGATTGGTACTATATTTACAATAAACAACACTAGTACACTTCCCCATCCTAACTAAAGAACCAGGGAACAGCTTGGTGGTGGTCTCGTTTGAACCTCCCAACTGACCTTCCTTCGTTCTCTCCTTCACCGCTCATACCTTCGCTCCGAGATCCCATCATAGTTCTGACCTCAGACTTTGACTCCACCTCGGCTTAAGTCCATTGCATTGGTGACCTCATACTACATAAACACCATTGCCAACATTCCTCAGACTTTCAACCCTGCCTCTGTAACCTCCATAAGCTCCACAGCCTCCAAGCTCCACAGATCATACTCAGCACTTTCGCCGTTTGTAATGTATCTTTCACGCTTTCCCCTCATCCTTATTTGGACTGCTGCTTCTCTCCATTCTAGTCAGTTAGTCATCATCCCCACTTCACCTCGTCCTCCTGCCCCTCTGGGCTTTGCCCTCCCTATCTCCTTTCGGATGTACCACAGGTTCTGACCTATGACCTTCAGTACCGCTCCGCTTCCATCATCCCTTTGTTCCCGTTCAGATGCCTTTGTTCTGATTCGGACCCCCTTTGTTTTCCTTGTGCTATCATCTCCCTATTATATACAGTTCTCCAATAAACCGTTGCAATGTTTTGCACTTTTGACTTCATGACCTTATAGCATGATGATAGTGTATTCTAAAATTTCAAAAAAATATTCAAAACATGAAATAGTATGCCATTTGGATATGTACCAATTATGTAAGCAATATGTCCATTTTTGGTAATGTTATGTAATTTACAAACCACCCAGGTCATTGCAATGGTTTATTGGAGTACATTTTTGGGAAGGGAAAATGGCATTAATTAATATGTTGTATAGCCACCTTTTGCTTTAACCATTGCCTCAATCCTCCTTGGCATACTCTCAATCAGATTCTGGCAAACACTTGGATCTATCCTATCCCACTCCTCCTGGAAGCAATCCCACAGCTCCTGAACACTACTTGGAGGTTCTTCATATTCCCCAAGCTTTCTCTTCACATGATTCCAGAGATGCTTGATTGGATTGAGGTCTGGAGACTGTGAGGGCCACTTCATGACCTTAATACAGTGGTTATTGAACTAGTTTTGGGCCTTTTTGCTGGTGTGTTTGGGGTCATTGTCCTGTTGGAAGAGGACATGGGCTGGGTTTTTGTGATAATATGATATGGTTTCCTGTAGTTCCTCATCCAGAATTTGGCAGTATAGCTCCCCATCCATCTTCCCATCAATCTTGTATGCCATTCCAACCCCATCCCAGGTCATACAACCCCATACCATGATGGAACCTCCACCAAACTTTTTTGTGCTTTGCACCAACTTGTCAGTGAGAGGCTCCCCCACCTGCTTCCACACCCATTTCCTCCCATCTGAGCCCAGATGATTCACCTTAGTCTCATCAGACTATACAACTCTCTTCCAGTCCTCTAGAGTCCACTCCTTGTGGCTGAGGGTGAAATCCATCCTGTCCCTCTTGTGACACCTGGTGAGCATAGGCCTTTTTTTCTTCACCACTGCTTTCCAACCAGCTTTTTTGAGCCCTTTACATACAGTCTCAATGGAGAGGGATGTGTCAGTGATGTTTCGGAGTATTCAGGTGACTTGGGATGAGTTGTCAGCCTTCCCAGAGTTGATGAGATGACAAGCATGGCGGATATCAGTGTCAGAAAGCTTGGATGGACGACCACCACTGGGCTTGGGAACATCAGAATGGTGTTTAGACCATAGGTGAGTGACAGTGGAGTAATGGTGGCCAGTAAGAACTGAGATTTGGCAAGCACTATGGCCAGAATCAATGAGGGAAAGGATTTGTTCAACTTTTGAAGTAGCTAAAGGATGCATTTTGAATTTGGGGCCTTATCATGTGAAGTCCTTCATTATTTATGCTTTGTTAATGTCATTTTGTTTACTAGTGTGTACAGTAAACAATATCACATGACATGTCACATGATATTCCTACTTTCTGTTCAGCCTGGGGGTACTCCAATAAACTGTTGCAATGACCTGGGTAGTTTGTAAATTACATAACATTACCAAAAATAAAAATATTGCTTACATAATTGGCAGATCTTTAGATGAGATACTTTCCCATGGTCTGAATATTTTTTTGAAATTTTAGAATACATTTTCATTGTGCTATAAGGTCATGAGTTGGAAAGTGAAAAACATTGCAATGGTTTATTGGAGAACTGTACAGGTGCCTGTACATACTCGTTTTGGACCTTCAGTCTAAAATCGACCTGAAATGCCCCCTAGAGACTTCCTGCTCAACGCCTCTGAAATTAAGGACCAAATGGACAAACAGCAATGGCACAGCGCTCTGCATGAGTTGCTGAGGCCAAGGTCCCTCCTTGCTAAGTCTCCGGTTCCCCTCCAGAATCGTCCACCCTTGCCCAGTTCTAACACCAGGGACCATTGTCCCATGTTGGGCCTGTCAGTACGCATGCCTGTTCCACACTGTAAGCATGCTAGGGATGTGGCCCAGCAGCAAACAAGAAAAGAAAAAGGGGGGCAAAGAAAATCTTACTACCGGTAAGGCCACACACGGTCCCAGTGCAAGTGCACAATACTAATAAATTCTTTTAAACGAACTCACCCTGGTCCTTCTTGGACAGTCATCAGGGAGTCAAACTAAGCTCTTTAAATGTATGGAAGGGTCACTCAACACCACAGTCTGTGAAAAATAAAATGAAGGATGGACCTTGAGAGTCTGGAAGCATGCCATCGCCTGTTACACATGGACAAGAAAAGGCTGGAGAGACTGGTGATCAAGAAAATGGGAGAATAGATGGGGGGAAGAGTTTGCCCTTAAAGGTATTGTAGCATCAATTGCCAATGACCCAACAACAAACACCTCAAGAGGTACAACAGGTGACCAGCAGACCACCAGTAAGGGAATGCCTGCCTTTTATGTATCAGTATGTTGTGCATGAGGTTATGGCAGTCCATGATCTTCCTGAAGGACTTGCCAGGATCCATGTAGACAACTACATAGTGAATGGACAGGACTGGCAGGAGGCATGTCTGATACACACTAGAAATAATTACATATATTGACTCATTTAATCTACAATCATGAAGACTACCCTATACATGGCAATTGCAGTAATCTTGAGCCTGATCCTGGCTTTAGCAGGCTGGCACTACAGATTTACAGATGAGGAAAGGCTACAGAAGAGCCCACTGATGTCCAATGAAGAAGAACCAGACATGGTTCATAAAGATATGGAAAATCAAGAGAGATCAAGCTCTCTGGAATCGCTGGGGGACTGGTATCTACTCAAGAACCAAAAGAGCAAGCCAACAGGCAGGCAATTCTATGAATCCCACCACCTTCACCCCTACTAACTCAACAGAAGGAGGAAGAGGAGTAACACCCCCTTTATTGCCTTTCCAGGGCAGGAAAAGGTATGGATCCGAAATTGGCTGTCCCAGAATGGCAATCACTGATAGCCAAGACTATGTACACAACTGATCGATAAATTCCCAGGCTCTGTGCACAGATCCCAATGTACTCTAGCGTTGAAGTAAATAAAACCGAGGATGGGGTAGAGACAAGATGAGTAGCAATCAAGGGATTTATAAGTAAGACACAAGAAATTGATCAACAGGGGTGCAAGATCCCAAAAATTGGAAAATCAAGGATGACTTGCCAGTGAGACAAGCAAGGAAGTCAGCAGGGAGAAGAGTCATAGGAAAATTGGGGAACCCCAGAGATGGCAGCAATCTGAGATTGGGATGTGCACCAAAAGGGAAAAGCCAAAGGAGGACTTGGATCAAGGAACTAGCCAGGAGGATTGAGATGTTGAGTGATGATATAGAAGACCAAAGTAGAGCAAATATCAGAAATAGCATGCAGAGAGGAACAGGGAAGTGGAACAGAGAACATGCCCTGCCCCCTCAGAATAATCTGAACTAGCTTATATCTGAGAATGTCTGCTGTCCAGACTGCCAGATCGCCAGTCTCTCTACTCAAGCAAGGCCAGATGGAAGGCTGGATTCCAAATAATGTCATAGCAGTCAAGGCAGTCACAATGTCAGGGAAGGTGGAAATTCCAGAAACAGATGATATGTCTACTAGCACTGATAGTCATGGATCAGACTCTGAGCTTGCATACCTGCTTGACAGGGTAAGGAACCTTAACCAGTGACAAACAGCAGACCAGGAAAAGGACAGGGGGAATTCTAGAAGAGATGTGCCAGCAATCTGATAGTAAGCACATGCATGAAGACAGAGACAGAGGAAGTTGAGATAACCCAGACAGCCACCATAGATATGGATTCAGAGGATTTACAGGATGGAGAATTACAGTATCCCAAAAGCAGCATCATGGAATATGCATATAACTGCACAAGAACAGCAGCCCTCACCCCTCCCTTGGACATCTTCCAGCACCACCACTGAAGATCCACCAACTATCCACACTTCTCAGTCTCCAACCCCCCACTGCTACTCATCCCTCCCACAGACAGTGTTCCAACTTGCCAGAGAACCTTCTCACAAATCCCACCTCACCTCCCAGATCTGGGTCAAACCACACTTGAACAGCAACTGCTTTGAGCAATTGTGTCAGCTGGGTGGTCCTTTTTTTCCATTGATGCCAGAGGTCATCAAGCTGTTTTCTATGCTGAATCCTGGGTTTAAATTACCACCTCAGAAGTGTCTTTCAGGAAAGGTTTTAGACGCATCAAGAAGCACTAACTTAAATGATGGAAGGTGCATATGCAACTGGGCAGTGTGACAGATGGAAAGACACATCCAGGAATCACATTAGGGGGTTTCACAGTAAGCTAGATTGGGCCAAACTGAGGGACTAAACTGAGTCTAAACTGAACGATACTGGAGCAAGTTTTGGAGTGGAATTAAGCCACTGTTAAACAAGATTTGAGGGTGTTGCAAGCAGGAATCTGCTACTGTCTCCAGAAAACAGAGGGTAGCACTCCAGCTCACTCCCCAAGAGCTAGGGAAGAAAGAGAAAGGGGGCTGAAAGGGTGTTGCAGTAAGAACAGGTCTGTATAATCAACGGGAGGGGGGGGGAATTTTGGGGAAATATATAACCCTGGTAACTCTTGCTTATCTTCTTTCCGTGGTGGATTTCCTTAAAGGTCACAATAGGCCTTTACCAATTGTGTGGCCACTCACAGCACCCAAGTACACAGACTTCAAAAGTAGCGGGAGGGGGGAAATCGTCTATTCCATTTCAATCACTACGTACATATACCCATACAGCAAACATACAATTTGTGAAAAGAGTCCGAAATATATGGGTTTGGCTGAGCTAAGCCTCCACCAACCATGGCGGTAAGGTTCGGCTGCTGTTGGCTTAGAATAGAATTTCAAACAACAAAAGAAAATGAAAAGAAAAACACAAAATTCCTCATACCACTCCAAACACTGCGTCAAAACTCCATCCCTTTATTTCATTCGACTCTCCTTATCCATAGCTTTCTAATGATACCGATTTTGTGAAATTTGGTGGAGATTTGACTGAGAACAGGAATTCTCAGACATGGTATACATATCTTGATTATCCGTTGTAGGAGAAATAATATTCAAAGAATAAAACAATGATCTATCAGAATAGTCAACAAACAAGTGACAAGTTCAGACGTTTAACAGATCTCATGATCTTTATGAGACTGGACAGACATTAGAAGATCATTATAAATTATCTACACCCATGTAGCATGAGATTTAATCTACTACAAGCATGCCTAGAACCTGGCATAGGTGTAATATTCAAAGAATATATCCCTACAACAAGAAAATAGCACATAGACGGCAGAATAAGAAGGAACATTGGGAAAGAAATGTAAATATCTCGGGAGCCAGTAAACTTTTGACTGTAATCTTTTTACCATCTGAAAGGACTGTTTCTTAACTTTATCCACGGTTTTGTTTTATTCTAAAAGCTTCAACACTGACGGAGATATTGCTCAAACGGCGAAACACCTTATAATTCATATATATTTATTTGCTAATTCTTACAAAAAGTAATGTGACTCAAGGGAAATATATTGGCGCCCGGAAGTCTGGCGGACCGAATACCATATGATAGAGTATTTCCCGGCGCGGGCGGACAGTTTTTGATCGCATCAGAAGAGGAGAAAATGCTAAAAAACCGGATCTTGTATATTTTCCCATGATTCATCAAAACTTTTTGATTTTAAGCTCAAATAAATCGGAACAAAGGAATGATTGATGATCTGGATCTCGGATCATAAGCATAAAGTGATTCAGAAGTCCGCGGATCAGTTAATTAACTGGGAAGGCTCTAGAACATTAGTAATGATGTGGCTTCACAAAAAGGGGTCAATTAGAGAACAGTCTAGAAAGGTCCTTTATGGCCGAGTCATTTCTAAAGATAACCGTTCGTAATTAAGGCGGTGTAGAGCATAGCTTCAGCGCTACAAGATCCCGCTAAGATCGGCCCAAATGACAAAGAAATGAATTACTTATTGCTGAGTCATGTCCTAAGTCCATTATTAAGCTTACACAGCCCAAGCCCCTATATCATTCTAGAACTATCTATAATACAAATGTAGCATATGTAACTAGTGCGAGGCGTGGGAGTAGAGAGGCCTCTGAAAAGCATAAAAGGCCGCCGCTTCTGCCCCCTCTCAAACCTCAGGTAGAAATAAAAGTTTAATTCTCCTCACCAGTGGTTGGTTCATTTGCTCCAAAAGATAAAAGCAAATATTAGTTGTTAGCTAATATAAAACTAACACGTCACTCTAAGCGTGAGTTAGGGTCAGTTAGACACAGCTGAACAAAAGTGTCATAGTGAGAATTAGTGAGAATTTGGTGGAGGGACTTCTTAATTGAATAATCTCTCAGCAATACTTGGTTATCACACCACAGGAGAAAAGTGAGCGATCCTGAACCTGCTAGATAACTAGCACGCACTCTAAGCGATAGAAAGAGCAGTTTGGTCACTCCTGTATTGAGTAACATTTATTGCAGAATTATTTTATTAGTAGTTTTCCTTCAGTAAATTATCAGGAAAATCATGTCCTACTGAAAAGTGGTATATCTAGGTGTAATATTGACTAGAAATCATAGTAAAGTCAATATAGAATTTTATCCGTAGACGATCTATACGTCAGGTGAGATCGTTGGGGGTGTTTATTGTTGTTTAGACAGTGAACAATTATATATTTGGCAACCAAAACACGGTCAGTACGCAAATCAGCACAAACTCTAATATTGTTATTGGACGTAGGAAACTGGTTACATAAGGTGATCCAGCTCCGCTCCTTCACTGTGCACAGGGAAACTTGGACCAAATAAAATGCCATAATTCCAAGACTCCTCCAATGACTTCTTCAGCATTTATATCATTTGACTAGCCCATATTTTTATTGAGACTAGCTTGCACATGAGCATCTGAACAGTTCAAATCATCCCATGACTCCTGTGACTCCCAACAATCAGAATATCTCCACAACCACTGAACCGATTAAGGTGAAATTCAACACTGAGTCTTTGGGCATTTTTCTGGATTTAATGATTCCAAGATCGTCCTATTCCGTCAACTTTTGACCTTGTTCCCATGGTTGCAGTCAAGTGCACGGACTTCACACATGAGGACATCTCAGGTTGAATTTCTCCACCAAATCTCAACCAATTCCTTCGCAGAAAGGCTCTTTCGGTTCGTACGAAAACCCTCTTTCTTCTTTCTTATTTCTCCCCCATAATTCCTTTTTCCTAATAATGTACAAGGGCAGGAGCCCAATTTTGATGTATTTGCTGCATAAGGTTCCATGAAATTGAGCACACCCGTTATGCACTCCTACAGCATTCACAGTAAAGCACTCTAAACTGGATCTAAACTGGACTCTGCCAGTTTCGTTAAGTCCATCTGCAGCATCAGGTGCTTTGCTTAGGTAACATATGCCACTTCATCGTGCATGCAACTACATAGTACTCTGTGTCATCTCACCCCTTCCAGACCCAGCATTAGGAGTGATGGTGTAGGGCATGCTTCATAGTAGACTAGGTACACATGTATGTGCTCTGAAAATGACAATTCCAACCTCGATATAATAGTCGCAATGCTAGGACTTGCTAAAGTCCCATCAGCACACTTCCAGTGCCATTATGGTTTTTACTTGAATCAGGTAGACATAGTAGGCTAGCAGCTCTGCATGTATGATAGCACACAAACCATGTATATGTAGAAGTAAATACAGAGCAGATTTAGTGTTAGAAACATTTTTCCGTTGAACAGATGTGCAGTGAATGTGTTTGGAGATAGATGAGCTTGCATAAAAGTGCTAGATAATTTGGGGGTGGCAGGTGATGCAAGGGATTAATAGAAGAGCTTGGGAGTCAGATGCTAAGTATGTACTTGCAGTGCATGGTGGAGGTGAGGGGAAAATGGGATGCCGATGCAGTGGGGCAGATGGCAAGTCCAAAGTGCACAAGTTACAGCACAGCTCTGCACCAGGATGGGACTCACTGGTTGATAACCAGTGAAATGTGAAGCACAGCAGCCTAGCAGGGGGAACCACTACCCAAGCATCACAGCTCCCCAGGCCCAAGTTCTTTAAGTGCATATCTGATCCACTAAAAAAGTAGGGCCATGCTATGTTATTCTGCATTGCATGTAGTAGCTGTGATTAGTCCGGTGAAATGGAGAGGCCCTTTGGATCATTGGGGACGATGAAGGAACAACTGTACAGTGTGACACGGAGTTTAGAAATGATGAGTCTGAGTTTGGGAAGCTGAGTTTAGACCAGTTGGGCCGTGTGAGCCCCAACAGCTAAACTGGCAAAACTGACCAGTTTTGCCAAGACTTTTCAGTTTTGACCTCAGTCTAGGATTTCAATTTAGACCTCAGTTTAGACCTGTTTAGAGTACCATGAACCCCCCTATTGTCGCATTCATGATCTCATGTATGGGAATGGTAAGTTACAATTTCTAGTATTCTTCATAATAACTATGTAACACAATTTAGGTGCATATGACACATGTTTATAACACCTTGGATCAATGGAAGACAGCTGAAAGGTTGCTGGCACTCATCAAGGAGAAGGAATACATCAAGAACAAACTCAATCTGAAACTCATTGGCTGGGTGTCAGATGCATCAGGAGAGTCAAGGGCCACATGCATTTGGTTGCAGGAGCAGTTCCCACATTTAATTGTAGCAGATTGCTATGCACACCAAGTATGTTTTTGCATGGATTACTTTGCAATTGTATTTCTTGACTTATTACTTGCATAGGTGCAACTTGTACTTGGGGACTACATAAAAAAGAATGAACACATGTCACTAAGATTGGCTGAGGCCAATGGCATCATTAATTGGTTCAATAATCACTCAATTGTGCTTCTGCAGAGCAATGCTGCACTGCAGACCAAGCAAGGGCTCTTATTAGACCTTGCATCACTCAGTGGACATCACACATAATGGCCATTGGCCAGTTAATTCAACTGGAGATTCCATTTAGAACAATTGTAGTATGGAGCAGGAGGGAACTTGAAACTGCTGCTGGAACAAAGTGCAATGCAATTGAAAAAGCACAGCAGATCCTCACAATAATTCAGAATGAAGGCTTCTGGGATGATTTGAAACAGTGAGTTAGCATACTTTACCTCTCTTCCTCAATGAGTTAACTCCTTTCTAGGATTAAGGAACACATTGAGCTGCTTGCCATTGCTGTCAATGTTTGTCAAGATTCCAACACTAGAGCTGACCAGGTGGCTCTTATTTTCAGTCACCTCTACAAGTATTACACTGATATTTCCACTGTGGCATTGGTTGCTCCTGGCAACAACCCTTCACCAATCCAAGCTATTCTTGGTAGTCTTTATTCCCATTGGAAAAAAGTTGACCATGATGTTTTTATTGATGCAGTTGCACAAACTGTGCTTTTTACACCAATGGTCTCTATTGCCTTCCTAGTCACAATGATAGAAAGGCTGTACTGTTGTGTGTTTGGGGTAGATGCACTGGAGGCATCAGTGGGTTTGCATACTATTATTGCATATCTGTCAGGGCAATAGCCCCGAACCCCGAGTCACATGTAAATTAGATACATATAGTCACGTGGGCAAGCAGGAACCTCCGGGTAACTGCTTACACACCACCATAAAATACACTATCTTGTATCACTTACGGCCTTGTGTGCTGAGCCACCCTAAGACCTCACACTTTTTTAAGTGCAAGAGGTGTGTTTTACAACACAACCCACAACTCTACAATCTTAACATCTGACTCGGAAGCGCCTATGGCGCCTAAACATGCCTGCAAGGGCAAGGTCGCATCTGCAGCGACACTAAAAAGAAACGAGCGGTTTATAAAGAAACCGCAATCTCCCATCATGGGAGATTCAAACCAAAAGCCGTCGTCAGACGACGACGAGGATCAACATGATCCGGCATTAGCAACCACCTCAGGGCTGGTCCCTGAAGGTTTTAGAAACTTACGTGGAGTAAGTGTGGGGCAAAATACCCCCAGAACTCCACAACATACCGATCTAACCCAAGCTGGGGAAGATCCCTCACCTCCTCACGAGGTGATCAACTTGCGCGAAAAACGTGTAAGCACCGAACGATCAGCCCAAAAAGCTGATCAGATAGAGTCCCAGGAAACTCCAGGGCCCCACTATCCCCTGGAGCCCCCCTCACGTCCCCAAGTCAAGCCCCAAAGGCAGACAAAGGGAAACAAAGGGAAGAGCCCCCGCGTCGGCTATCCGAAAAACTACTGGACTTGTTCCAGGTTCCGTCTGAATGGAGGACGGAAAGTGAAGATCAACTTCTTCTCAGGCTGAAAGCCCAAGAAGGCGCAAAAATACGCCCTGAGAGCAGGATCTCCCAGAGCGCGGAAGCTCCAAAAGAACTTCCGCTGTTTACACTCCCACACACCATGCCAGACAAGGCAAGGTCGCCAACCTCGGAGGAGGTCTCCGAGATAATGAAGAGGAGGCGAACTGAAATGAGGGAGTTCGCTGAGGAAGCCTTACATAAAAGTAAGGAAAAACCAGTGAACAAACCCCTCTATGAAAGGAAAGCACCCTCCACAACGGCCTCGCCTAAACAAAGCGAGCGTGGAGTGTTCACTCCAAGAACCCATTCTGGAACCCCCAGAAGCGGAAATGTCAACTGGGGAGAGTCTCTGCTCGCCCAACCAAACTTCCTCCTGGAAAACCAGGAATCGCGCATAATAAACACGATAAACTCGATCCAAAAAAAGATCGAGGAAATGAACCATAATAGCACGGCTCGTCTAGAGATAACTCTAGAAAGAATGGCCAACGCAATCGATGCATTGACTGAAAAAATCAGCGAACAAACAGATTTGCTGAAGGAAATAAATTTCTCACAAAAAAGTGAGGAAACAAATAAACACCCCTGGACCACGGTCCAGGACATAAATAGAACTCGTGAAAAATTCACGAAAAGAACCACCAGTGAAAGCACACTGGAATATCATCAGCGACTTGACAGAGACGCTAAGGAGATCCTTCTCCCAAGGATAGGAGAAGATGATGCCGAAAGAAGGCATCGTTCAGAGATTAGGAGGAGAATTGGCACGTACCAAAGGTTCGGCCAAACGTCCACTTATGATGGACCTCTCGAACAGAGAGGTAACTCATTCACACCCTCTCAAAACAATGAGAGAATACAAATACAACTTCAGGCGAATTCGCCTGAAACCAAAGAAACACTGCGAGGAAGATTTCCCCCAGCAAAAACCCCCCAAAGGAGAGATCTCCATTGGATAGCGACCCCGTGAAGGCAGGGGAGCAAGAAGAGTACCTGGAGAAATGGTACGAAAAGGCCATAAGAATGGCCGAAGTGAGAATACTCACTCCCTACCCAGAAGGAGTGAAACCAGAAGCCCTAAAGAATGGGCTGGCATTCCCTGACAAGAAATGGTCAGGGGAGAACGACATGGAATCGTTCTGGCAGTGGTTCACAGAACTACTGGGATTCCTCGCCTCGTGAGGATGCAAAGGTCCCCAATTTGACGAAGTCCACCTGGACTGCTTGATTTGTGGATTAGGGGGGCCCGCATTTGACCTCGGAATTAGACTCCGAGACGAAACTCTCCTCAGAGGAGACGAGGGCATGTTCCTCGAAGTTCTCAACATATTGATGAGAACCTTCATCAAAGCCTCTGCCGCATTGAACGTGACAAAGAAATACCGCAACGTCAAATACGAAGCGGAAAAAGGCCTAAAACAGTTCTACTTAGAACTGTCAAAAGCAGCATCCCAGATGGTGACGCTGCCAGACCAGGCGTCCTTCAACGCCAGGTTCCTAAACTACATTCCCCTCAAATGGAAGAGGGAAATGATTGCTCATGATAGAATCAGAGCAGACTTCTCCTCAAACGAGGAGATGTTAAAAGCAATATCTCGCATAGACGAGATAATTGACGGGCTGAAGATGTCTTCAGCCTACAAATCAGGTTATTATACCAGAACAACTACTACGGCAACCACGAGCCACGGCAGAGCCCTCCCATCAGGAAAGAAGGTGGAAGAGCTGAAACCCAGATGGAAAGAGGATACATCCTCGAAAAACTCGAGGAAAACTGACCAAAAGTCAGTTCCAATTTGCGGCAAATGCGGCAAAATAGGGCAAACGAAAGATTGCCCAAGACACAATATAACGAGCGATGAAAAACCAAGGCGCATAGCTGCCATGGAGATCGCGAACTCAACGGATGAAGAGTCGAAAGGCTCATCAGATGAGAAACCAGAGAACAACTCTGGTAACTCCAAAGCATGGTGAAACAAAAACCAGGTAAGCTTAGACTTCCGGTCCCACAAAGTGAGAATGGTGAACAAGGGCAACATAGACACCCTTGGAATAAGTGAAGACCGTGTGACGAGATCACATGGATGGAAAACTCGAGCAAGAGCCCGAGAACAACCAAAAAAGAAGCCCCCCTGACAGGGAGGCAGGATTGAAACACACCTCAGGGTAATCACAAGAAAATACCCTGAAGGTTGGCCCAATCCTAGTCTGGAAGGACTAGAACTTCCAGATGTACCACACCTGGAAGGTCTCTCCATGAACAACCCCAAGTTCGAAATACTCAGGGAGTGGTGGAGAGAAAAATTTGAAACCGTAATGGCGCCAGCGCCATTAGAAATGCCTCCCTTGAGGGAGGTGAACCATCGAATCCCGTTGAAGGATCCGAACAAGAAATTTCAGGAAAACACCCCGAGATGTCCTGCAGCACTGCAGGAAGCACTAGCGACCAAAATAGATCGCTATGTAAAAGCAGGATGGTGGTATCCTGCGAACAGCGAGCGAGCATGCCCGCTACTGTGCATCCGCAAAGCAGATGGATCTTTGCGCACGGTAATAGACGCGAGGAACCGTAACTCAAACACGATCCTCGACGTCACACCAATGCCAGACATGCGACTGATCCAAGAATCAGTCGCCAGAGCAACATACCGATCCAAGATCGATATGTCGGATGCGTACAAACAAATATGCGTGGATCCAGAAGACATCCATAGGACGACATTCTCCATGCCCCACGGGACATACAACTCAAACACGATGCAGCAAGGAGACTGCAACGCTCCCTGCACCTTCCAGCGCGCACTGACCTGGGAACTATGAGGAGAAGTAGGCAGACGCCTACATGTCTGTTCGACGATATATTCACCAGCACAAGCTCGGTGGAAAACCACAATAAAGCACTATTGTGGTTATTCACTCGCCTAAAAGGGGCGAAATTCTACATAAGCCGGAAAAAATTCCAGCCATTTGCCCCAATCCTAGACGTTCTAGGAAGCCGAGTGGACGAACAGGGCATCCACGCTCAAGCGGATAAAATGGAAAAAATCCGCAACTGGCGAGAGCCAGTAGACCACACAGGAGTCCTAAGATTCCTGGGAATGGTAGAATATCTATCAATATTCATGCCAAACGTCAGCGGTTACACAGGACCACTGCAAACAATCTGCTCAAACAAGCAGACATTCAGGTGGACACCACTCCACCAGAAATGCTTCGACGAAATCAAACGTCTAGCATGCAGGGCTCCGATCCTGAAGCCCGTCCAGTGGAACCCACCGGAAAGCCTCTCAGAAGAAGAGAGGACCAAACTCCACGTCTGGGTCATAACAGACACATGCCCAGTGGGCATGGGTGCATTAATTGGACAAGGCGAAAGGTGGCAGACTTGCCGCCCGGCCGCATTCATGTCCAAAAAGTTCACCAACACACAACGTAGGTACTTCGCCTACGAGCTCGAGGCACTGGGTGTCCTCGAAGCACTCATGAGATGGCAAGACGACCTCATGGGAGGCCGTGAATTCACAGTAATCACGGACCACAAAGCTTTGGAATATTTCAAAGCGAAAAACCACAACTCAGGGAGACACCTGAGATGGCAAGCCTTTTTCGCAAGCTTCAATTGCGAAATAAAATACGTGGAAG